AATGTACGTATTTCTTCTACCATTGTATTGTCTTAGTGACACTCTGATTTTTTCCGTAACTTGATGATGTTTAACACGATGTACCGTATTTCTTCTGATTGTATTGTCTTAGTGACACTCTGATATTATATTTGTGATGTTTAAGATGTACATATTTCTTAAATTGTATTGTCTAAAACTGTACAGTTGTAATAAAACTAATACAATTATTAAGATGAAATTCAACTTTTTTTTATTTTTCCTTTTCATACTTAGTCCATTAAGTTAGCGCAGTATACACCGACTTTATGAAAACGGATTTTTTCCCGTTGAGGCGAAGAAATTCCTGATAATGACCTAGTACACAAAGCGTTTAGAAAAAAAAGTATGGACCAAATTGGGACAGATGTTTAAGATAAAAATTAATGAGGCGAAGACTTGTACATTAAGACAAATACAAAATATCTCACAGACGACCTGATGGACACACGCAGAGGAAACCTATAGCCCTCCCCCGGTTTCACCAGGGGACTAATAAAGTTCATTTGATAAATGTAAAAATACCAGTAAATGATTTAGTTATGAAAAGACTGATCTATTGTCTTATTTGACACCACAGATATTAAACTTATGATATTTAAGATGTACGTATGTTCTTCTGATTGTATTGTCTTAAGTGACACCTGATAAAACTTAAGATGTTTAAGATGTACATATTTCTGTTGCCAGATTTTATTGAAATGAACCTTGTGACATTCTGATATAACTTATGATGTTTAAGATGTACATATTTCTGTTCATTGTTATTGTATTGTCTTAGTGCACGTGAAACCTGATATTACTGATGATGTTTGAGATGTACACATTCCTTCTGATTGTATTGTCTTAGTGACACCTGACATAACTTGTGATGTTTAAGATGTACATATTTCTTCTGATTGTATTGTCCTAGTGACATCTGATATTACTTCAGATGTTTAAGATGTACATATTCCTACTGATTGTATTGTCTTAGTGACACGTGACATAACTTGTGATGTTTAAAATGTACATATTTCTTCTGATTGTATTGTCTTAGTGACATCTGACATAACTTGTGATGTTTAAGATGTACATATTTCTTCAAATTGTATTGTCTTAGTGACACCTGATATTACTTATGATGTTTAAGATGTACGTGTTTCTTCTGACTGTAGTGTCTAAGTGACACCTGACATAACTTATGATGTTTAAGATGTACGTTTTTCAGATGCATTGTCCTAGTGACAAATATTACTTATGATGTTTGAGATGTACGTATTTCTTTTGATTGTAGTGTCTTAGTGACACCTGCTATTACTTATGATGTTTAAGGTATATTCCTTCTGATTGTATTGTCCTAGTGACACCTGACATTACTTGTGATGTTTCAAGATGTACATATTTCTTCTGATTGTATTGTCCTTAGTGACACTGATATTACTTATGATGTTTAAAATGTACGTATTTCTTCTGATTGTATTGTCTTAGTGACATCTGACATAACTTGTGATGTTTAAGATGTACATATTTCTTCAAATTGTATTGTCTTAGTGACACCTGATATTACTTATGATGTTTAAGATGTACGTATTTCTTCTGACTGTAGTGTCTAAGTGACACCTGACATAACTTATGATGTTTAAGATGTACGTATTTCTTCTGACTGTAGTGTCTTAGTGACACCTGACATAACTTATGATGTTTAAGATGTACGTTTTTCTTTCGATTGCATTGTCCTAGTGACACCCGATATTACTTATGATGTTTAAGATGTACGTATTTCTTCTGATTGTAGTGTCTTAGTGACACCCGATATTACTTATGATGTTTAAGGTGTACGTATTTCTTCTGATTGTATCGTCTTAGTGACACCTGACATAACTTATGATGTATAAGATGTACGTATTTCTTCCGATTGTATCGTCTTAGTGACACCTGTTATTACTTGTAATGTTTATGATGTTTAAGATATACTGTACTGTTAAATCACATATTTACATGTATCAAATTTTCGAGGCTTGAGGAAAAACTCTTTGTTCATTGGGATTTGATTTCGTGGATGTAGAATTCTTAAGTTATGATGCATGTCGCATTTTACATTTCTAGATGGACATGAATTCGTGGGTCTCTTAATACCTCAAAAACAACGTAAATTAAATCCCCACAAAAAATTGTGATTTCACAGTACGTATTGCTTCTCATTGTAATGTTTCAATGACACCTGATATTACTTATGATATTAAAGATGTACGTAATTCTTCTTAATTTATTTTCTGATGCCTGATATTACTCATGCTGTTTAAGATGTATGCATTTCTTCTGATGGTATTGTCTGACACCTGATATTATTATTATGTTTGAAATGTACGTCTGTCTCCTGATTGTATTGCCTCAGTGACATTTGATATTACTTATGATGTTTAAAATGTACGTATTCTTCTAATTGTATTGTCTTAGTGACACTTGATATTACTTATGATGTTTAAAATGTATGTATTTCTTCTGATTGTATTGCCTTTCTGACACCTGGTATTACTGATGATGTTTTAAGATGAGCGTATGTTTCCTAATTGTATTGTCCTATTGACGCTTTTGGTGTTTTAGATGTCCATACTTGTTTTCCCCCCGATTGCATTATTTAAATGCCATTATGAGTTTTCGTGCTTTTCGATTTCAAATATTTCACTCTCTACTCTGCAATCTAAAAATATATATTTAAAATTTATAATTAAATGGAATTTATTCATGAGGTTGTTAAAATACTTAATTAGAGGCAATGTTGTAATTTCAATGATATTAAAGAAAGGAATATAGACACGTTCCGATTTTAAAAAAAATAATGAAACAAAAGATCAAACCTGTTAATTGTCATAGGGTCTTGAGTTATGGCATTTTGACATCAGAACAGGTTGTTAATTTTGCTTGCAATCTACGAAATAGTATCTTTATGAAAGGAGAACACGTCATTTGTCCATTCCTTTTACCTATTTCACTGAAGGGTATCTTCAAATAATTCTTTGTTGTGTTATTTTGATGAAAAATATCAAAAGATGACGAAGATGATTGTTTTCTGTATTCTGTTTGATAAGACAAATATTCAGCTTAATGAAAAAGTCACAAAACTCAGAGCCCAAGCAGGAACGAGAATGTCTTAAATGAATTACATGAACATAACGAAGAGTACTGGTTTTCCAGCACAACAGTCATAAAAACTGTAAGAAATAGGAGGAGAGCAAATCATTTTGATTGAAAAAAAGATAACATTAACATACCACACTGTTTAAAACACATATTTGATACATTAATATAAAAAAATGAAATATTAACACTGGGTATTCAAATTCATTAAATTTTTTTTTGGTAAATCTAGCATTAAGTGGAGTGTCGACTGACGTTTCTCACTCTACCTGTTAGATCATTATTAATCCACTGATTTTCTTTCTTTACTTCGATTATCTTAGGAAGAAAAGGCTTATGATACTCTCAACAGGAAGGCTTTCTTATCCAGGACACCCGATCCCAGCTCTGATGGATTAGGGTCTTTGTCTGATAATCAATTTGCTGACTGACGCTTTTCATATTATTTGTTAGGTCATTATTTAAGCACTAAATTGACGACGGATTTTTCCGTTATTAGCTTAACATGACAAGGAGCACACTTCGGGTGTGACCGGTCGACAGGGGATGCTCACTCCTCCATGGCACCTGATCCCACTTCTGATCTGTATTTTGTATTGTTTATTGGCTTGATCTTGAATACTGTTCGTTATCTTCATATGTTTCATTGCATTTATGATGACAGATCCATAACGCTTAATATTTGTTTTAATAATCTATTTCCACAAAATTACCCCAGGCATATTTTTTTACTTAAGATCCACTGCCAAACGTCCTGCTTTTAAAAGTTAGGGTTAGTGTTAGGGATTAAAAATATGTTGTTAAACCAATGAGTTCAATAGCTCTCTTTAAGTGAAGATTTTATAAATTTTGTTATTGATACGATATCCTTGTCAAGAAAAGGATTTCATGCTTAATTCATATGTTAACTGACATTTTTATACAAATTGATGGGCCTTTTTCTCACCTTGAATTGTTTTTTTTTCGGTTCGCTTCGATCATGAAAAGGAGCTCACGGCAGGATTGACCGTAGAATGGGAATACGTAATGTAATCCTCCATATTTTGTAGTGATATAAAGGTTCTCAGAATGACATCATGCTTCCAATATGTACCCAATATGTCTTTATTTCTATACATGTGCAGTTTAATCATTATCTATATACAAACTCAAAGAATATTGCTTCTGACTTTTAAAGATAAAATAGTGTGTGTGTGATTTACCCGGTATGTGCAATTTTAGCTGTTCACCATTTTTGGTCTCATGTTAATTAATAAAACCAAGGCAACATTTTACATTTAACACGCCAAGTATGATCCTTAAAGAGTTCTTTTGTTATTTTCGTCCCTCTAAGAATCGCTCGGTACTGTCAAAAGAAATAAATTCAAAAGTGAGTTAACATTGATGATGCATTGTGTTACGTTAACATTTAGAGGCTGATGTATCAAAGTTGAACTAAATCAATAAATTCTGATTAATGACTAAAAGTCAGATAATTGTTTCTTTAATTTCATATCGAAGTATCTGAATCTTTAATTTGATTCAAGAAAATTTATACTGACTTTCCATATTTAAAGCTAATGAAAATAAAAACCTCTGTACAAAATAACAGACATTTACTAGGATTAAAAAAAACTGAACAATTTTCATTTTTATTTTTCAAACCGCAATTTGAAAACGAAAATATCTATGACAATTCATATTAACTTTAAAAAATCGATACTTAAACAACGGTAAAATATAGATAACGTAACAGTAAGCCAATCGCTTTTCAGTCATTGATTACAGTACGATATATATATTTGGCTGTTGGAAGACTATTTGGCAGAATTTCACAGATTCACAAGAACGCAGAATTTTTATTTTAAAAAATTAAAGAAAAAATGGGCAGTCAGTGGGTTATCTCCTTAATGGTCGGCTTCTTAGCTTTATCTAAAGCGACCATTATTTCTCAGAAATATACTGCAAAACTTATCTTGAATGATAAAATATCAAGCTACGAGCTTTTAGAAGAACAAAATTCTCATTCTTTGACCGAGTGTGCCGCGATATGTCAAAGGGAGTGCGTGTTCTTTGGTTTTAACCCTGAAACGAAGAAATGTCGTACCCACAAGAAAATATTCACGTCTTGGATGTCTGATGAAGCCGGTTGGAGATACTACTCGGATAACAGTATGTATATCTGTTTTTTTCTGTTTGCTTCTTTGGTTTTTTTAAGGTTCCTCTCGAAAAGACACGATTTATTCCTTTGACATTGCTTTTTAAGTGGTATAAGTGTATTTTCAACATAAAAAGTAATAATATTCATTTAAACTTTATGACAAAATCATTCTAAGTCATTAGAAAATTATAGCTTTAATTAACTAAACTGAAAAAAATCAACCTTAAGCTGGTTTCTCGAAATTGCTATCTTATGACAAGCTGTCCTGAAATCTGAAATGTGAATCCTGTGTCATGAAGGAGTAAGCATCCTGGGTCAGATCCACTGTGTGTCCCCTGTTCTGATCTGTAAAAATGTCAAACTTACAATCTGTTTAAAATGTCTGTCTGAATTAGATAGGATAGACTGTGTTGGAAAACATGGTCACTGTATCGACCTTAGAATTTACGAAACATTAAATTTCACACACATCATATTATACAAAAAACAAGATGATTTTACGAGATTTTTGACATTTTTTTTATGATCCAAATGGTTTGTCATCTGATCTACAAATGCACTCCTATTTAACATTTCTTTCAATCAACAGAATAATAAAAATACTTAGTGGTTGTATTTCATTTTAAATACTTTTGATAATGTCATAGATAAGAGATTTGTAGCAATTAGAAAAAAAGAAAACAATGATTTTAGATAGTGGGGAACAGTTTAACCTAGTCTGCATTGTACATGTAGTTAACTTTTTAGCTTCAACAATGAACATTTATATATAATGCAGGCATTATATATCCTCTCATTTCTTACATACGCATAATATAATCCCGGCATTTCTTTTTAGATTGTGTTTTCTCTGCCATGCCCAAAGATTGTACTGAACTGTGTGAAGAAGGACAAACTACTACAGGGGTGTATGATATATACCCCTACAGTACACTAACCATTCCAATAAGTGTCTACTGCGATATGACGGCAATGGGTGGGGGATGGACAGTATGTAGTTTTTTTTAAATTAAAAGTACATAATATAACTTACATTGTTTCTGTTGTTTTAAGATTTTAAGATAAATATTATAAATATATTGAGTTTATATCATAATTATTGATTGTTCCAAGCAATAAATTGAATTGTTACGCATGTTAATTTTCAAAGGCCATTCAGAAACGCGTAGACGGATCCGTGAGCTTTGACAGGAACTGGACGGAATATAAAAATGGTTTTGGTTCACCGGAACAAAATTTCTGGGTTGGTAAGTGTAAATCGCTTTCAAATAAGAAATTTTAATTCCTTCAAAATTTTGAGGATAAAAAAATATTGTGGCAAGTAAAAAAATTATAAAGCATAATAAAGATCTGAATTTAAAACTAGGTAATACGTGTTCTAGGACATTCACATTTCGTGTTAAATTTTTATCTCAAATGATTAGAAAAAAAAACAAAAGAAGAAAATCATATAGCGGCATATTTTTATGAGACAAAATTAAGCATTATTGTCTACAGCTAAGGGAAATAATTTGATTTTTAAGAACAGTAGATTCAAATTTGTAATAGAATTAATTGTATTGCCATGGACTTTTCAGCTGATTTCAAATATATCTTAATACAGGAAATGACATAATTCATCAATTAACAAAAGAAAAATCGTCCCTATATGTGTCCATCACTCTCCAGAATGGTACAACGCTTTATGAAATGTACGACGGATTCTCTGTCTCCAACGAAGCTGGAAAATATCAGCTCTTTCTTGCAGGACCTGCCACGGGAACCTTAGGTACGCGTATTCACGTTAAGTTCTTAAAATTAGGTTCAAATTACGCATACCTACCTTCCTGGTCCTTGTTGCACTCGGAGGCACATTGGGCAAGGACGCAAATTACGCAATTTATCATAATAATACTTTTCTGTATTGAAAGATTATTAAGTTATGAGGAAAAAGAGAAAGGTTCGCTTTTTTCTGATATTCTGTATACGTTTTTCATTCCACACTAATTAAACATGTTAAATATTTCAAAATATCATTTGCAGGTACAGTTCACGAATTCCGCTATTATTTAATTTGATATTGTCAGGAGTAAAAATTTCAATTTATATATTGAAGTACGTACAAAGAACATTATGTTAAATTTATTTTCATAAACAAATCTAGGAAATATATATGCTCAACCATTGTTTTTGAACTTGGCCTTCCTGATAATTTCTAATAATTCACATTTTATCTACGACTGAAAAAAGAAGTTTACAGAGCGTAATTGATCTATGATATCGACATCTTCACGAAAATTTCTTGTTCAAAGAAATTTAATTTATCGGAAACATACTCAAATTTAAAAAAAACAAATTCAAAACACCTCGACTTGATTCACATTAACTATACCTTTCTCTATTAAATGAAAATCTTTTATGATTAAGAATTTTTAGATCAGATACATAATCAAATAAAAAAAAATCGAAACACCTCAACGCATTCTACATTTACAATACCTATGCTTTATTTAATGAAAATATATAATTTTCAAATATTTACAGGTACAGCATATATAAACTAATTATGATTTTGAATCTCTTTTATTTTTTTTTTTTTTGTTTAATACTACAGGGGACTCTATGTTAGACACTGGTTTTCCTGATTCCAGACAGAGATCACGACAGGTATAGTTATGGTAACTGTGCTGCTCTCAGTTCCTTCAGAGGAGGCTGGTGGTATAACAATTGTCACCAGGCCTTCCTTAACGGTCCCTGGTCCCCGGAAGGAGACTGGTCCTGGCCATGGTATCCCACAGTAAGGAGTGGGACGTCAGTGAGGGGGACCACCATGATGATCAGACGTCACTAGGTAAACATCATTAATTCTTAATAACAATTTTTTTTTCTTTTTGTATCACTGTGAAAAATTCAAATGATTATAAGAGGTTTTTCAGAGTAAAATATGTTATTTCTGTGAAGCATTAATTTAATTTTTTTTTAACAGACGAAAGATCATCTATCAATGAGACGAATCCATTTTGATTCAAGAGACGGTTTTAAATTTTACATTTATCACGGGGTTCTTTTTTCTTTGTGAGATTGTTTGACATCAAGTGACTAAACAAATATGTTTTCAGGGGATGAAGGATTATGTAAAGCAATAAATTATTTTAATTTTGTTCTACTGAATATATTCTGTAAAAGATGTACTTCATATGTGTTGTAATAAATTTTACTTTTCCATGATCTACGCAGCAATACTACATGTCAGATAAGACAGGTTTCATTGTATTAAGGATATTAAGATATTTATTTAAAAAGTTATAAGGTATATTCTGTGTTCGTGTTTTGCATTATAATACGTCTAAGATTATACTTCTCTTGACAAAATACCCCTAGCTTTTTCCATCCATTCAGTATTTCTAATGGATGAGCATTGAATTATATTAAACTACTATACAAAAACAATTTAAGTACCAGTCCATATAAAAATCATGCAAAAGGTGATTCACTCAAGTTCTCAGAATTCAATGATTTTCCACTCAAAAATTTCTCTTGCTCTATGATCCATGTATGTAAAATAAAAAATGTTTTGGATCATGGTTACTATGGAAACCTGGTCAAAGTAATTTCCTTGGCATTAGCCAATTTTTCCGGGTAAAGGCACAGAGTGCAGTAAATCTGCAGAAGATTGAGACACTCAGTTCTTTCCTATCAAAAGGAACCTAGTCTAGAAACACGGTGCAGTAACAATATCCAATCCACGTCTCTAGATAACAAAAAATTAATAAATTGTGATTTCCCTCAGATAGAGCGGCCCTACAATTATTAGTCCAATCATTAACTCAGACAGAGTAAGAGAAAAAACTTTATACTGTACATAGTTATATCCTTTGTAGAACCCAATCATACACGTTACAATGGAGTTATTAGATTTTTGGAAAGAAATATTCAGTACGTCTGATGTCAAACATCTGGCTCATTTTCTCCATGATAATAAAAAGGAACAATGACATCAATTTAAGTACCAGTCTGTGAAAAAATCATGCAAAAGTGATATTTAAGTGATACACTCAGGTTCTCAGAATTCAATGATTTCCCCTAAAAAATTTCTCTTGCTCTGTGATCCATGTGTGTAAAAAAAAGTGTTTTGGATCATGGTTACTATGGAAACCTGGTTAAAGTAATTTCCTTAGCAACCAGGCAATTTTTCCAGGTAAAGGCACTGAAAATCACTGATCTTCAAAGCCTGAAATTATATATAAAAACTTATAACAATAAATCTCATTTACTGGTATAATAAAGACACAAATTTTAATTGTCTAAAACACACAAGACATTGATATTTTATATGAAGATAGTATTATGGTAGATATTAGAGTATATGTATTTTTTCGAATTTTTGCTGATTCAGAATTTTCCTAGATTTTGACAATAATCAAGGTCAATTAAAAAAAAAAATACCAAGCTTATACAGATTTCGCTTGACTTTCACATAAAAGTAAAGAACTTTGTCTTTTAGAGATTGAGTTTGAAAGCGTGGGTTTTTGAAAAATCCTACTCGTTGCCTAGCAACAAAATGGGATGTTTTGATTACTAAAAGGTAAAAAATGGTAAAGGGTTGGGTCAGATATCTTACAAATTTTTATCTTTTTTGTTGCAGACTCAATTTTTAAAGTAACAAAAAATAACTCTTATTTAATTTTAAAACAAAACAATAATTAATAATTTTTATTCTCCATGGCAACAGCAAATTTTCCCTAGCAACAACGCAAAAAAAATTTTTTTTGGGCCTTTTTGTAGAAACTATGATAGTTACAAATAGATATTTTTTCTTAAAAAAGCAATTGGGCATAAATGTCAATTTAATATGGGTCTGTCAAAGTATTTTCTGTACTTCATTAACCCATTGGTACGATTCTGAACACTTAACGACCACTTTTTTTATCCATAATACATTCAGGCATTTTTTGGCTAAATTTTTAGGGCTGAAATTTGATCTTCCACAAAAGACCTAATAAATGAAAAATAAATACCTTAGGCCAAAATAAAAAATACCTTTGTTTCCCCTAACGCGACCGACCCAACTAAATCGCACCGACTGATAGATTTTTTAAAGAAGATGATTCAAATATTTTTTTTTGTTAACAAGTTTAATAAAATTTAATTTTATCAAAATCAGTTTTTATCAGAACGGCCAACATTGTTCCACTGTGATTTTCAAGCATTTGTTGGAAACAAAATGGCGTCCAGATGTGATTACAGAGAATTAGTTCTTCACAATACAATAATAATAATAATAATAATAATAATATCCTTTATTTATACAGAATAGCACAATTAGTTATAAACTAGTTCACATTGTGGTCCTGAAAACATATATACAGACAGAAGATTATGTACAGAAACATATACTCAGTAATTATAAAGCGAGTAGACTAAAATCAATATAAACACATGGTTTGTGTACGTTTCGTCTAAAACAATCAGAATTATCATCTCAGTAATTATATTTTAGTTTGAAGACTGGTAATAATTTCTTATGTAAGATGTTTTAAAACTTTGCAAAGATGGACAATTCTTTAAAAATTCTGGCATATTATTCCATAGCTGGGAACTATAAATTGTGAAAGATCTTCTATAATATTCTGTTTTAGCCCTCGGAATGTACAATGAATTACTTTGACTCAATCTTGTAGCTCTGTTGTTTATTTCATGTACAAACTTAAAAACATCTAAATAATCTGGAGTTAATCCGTGTAGAACTTTAAAAACAAGGATGACAGTTCTATACATGAAATAATCATTAATTGGCATCCATCTCAGTTGTAAAAACATTTCCGATGTAGGTGTATAAAAAGTTGTACTTAAAATCACTCTAGCAGCTCGCTTTTGGAGTTTACATAGTTTGCTAAGACCTTCTTTGTTTTTCATATTGCCCCAAACAGTACAGCAATAATTAAAATGGGGAAAAACAATTGTATTAAAGATTTTTAACAATAACTCAGAGGACATGAATGATCTTAATCTAGACAAAACACCTATTTTGGAAGCAAGTTTATTCGTTAAAATTTCAACGTGTTCAGACCATGTAAGACACTTGTCAATGTAGACACCAAGTAGTTTCGCACAAGATACATTTTCAATCACAATACTACCCACTTTAATACATAAATTCCTACAGTTTTTTAATCTTTGTTCCGTACCAATTAACATGCACTGAGTTTTTTTTAAGATTGATTGTTAACTTGTTTTTCTCCATCCAATCTAGCGTATTGATAAGATCGCTATGTAATTTATTTTCAATAACATCGATACTCTTATCTGAGACATCCTGAGTTGTATCATCAGCATACATGTGAGCCGCGGAGTGTTTTAAGCAGTCTGGGTAGTCATTGACATAAAGGATAAAGAACAATGGCCCAAGTATTGACCCTTGAGGGACGCCTATAGTTATGTCTAATTTTTCTGACTGAGCACCATTCCATCTAACACACTGTGTCCTATTCGACAAGTACGATTTGAACCAATTAAACGAGTCTTTGCAAATTCCAAAAGAAAGTAATTTGTGGAGAAGTATATTATGATTCACAGTATCAAATGCTTTGCTACGATCAACAAATAGAACACCAGTAAGTTTACCACTATCAATGTTTTGTAACCATTTTTCGATTATACTATGAAGTGCTGTTTCGCATGAATGCTTGGGTCTAAAACCAGATTGTTTTTCATTGATAAGATTGTTATGCGTAAGGTATTCATAAAAAGAATTGTGAACATGTCTTTCTAAGACTTTACTTATGATAGGTAATATCGAAACTGGGCGATAATTATTAAGCAAATAATTCTCACCAGCTTTATACAATGGTGTAACCCTAGCACTTTTCCATTCATCAACAAACACACCCGACTTGATTGAACAATTCAAAATATGCGTTAAAATATTTCCTAAGACACGAATACTTTGCTTTAGAATTTTAACAGAAATTTCATCTAAACCAGTAGCTTTTGAGTTAGACATAGAAAGTACTTCGTCGATAAGAAAGCTTTCACTAACAAATACAATGGCGACGTCTCAATCTTATGCCTTTCACTT